GAAGACCCCCTAAACTCCATTGAAAGACTCTTAGATACAATAAATAAATTCAGTAATGTGGCTGGATACAAAATCAGTACTCAGTAATCAATAGCATTCCTATACACAAACAACAAAATCACAGAGAGGGAAATAAGAGAAACTGGACTATTCACATTAGCAAGTCAAAAAATGAAATATTTAGGAATTACTCTTACGAAAGAAGTGAAAGACTTATACAGTGAAAACTATAATACACTGAAAAAGGAAATTGAAGATGATCTCAGAAAATGGAAAGACATCCCTTGCTCATGGATAGGAAGAACAAACATTGTGAAGATGGCCATTCTCCCAAAACTGTTATACAGATTCAATGCAATCCCAATAGAAATACTATCAACATACCTTATAGATCTAGAGAAATCACTCCTAAATTTCATCTGGAACCAGAAGAGACCTAGAATCGCAAAGGCAATTCTAAGCAGCAAAGACAAAGCAGGAGGCATCACAATCCCTGACTTGAAATTATACTACAAAGCAACAGTAGTAAAATCAACATGGTATTGGAATCAAAACAGAGCTGAAGATCAATGGAATAGATTAGAAGATACAACCACAACTACAAACACACTCAACCACCTTATCTTTGGTAAAGGAGCCAAGCAGGTTCACTGGAAGAACGACAGTCTCTTTAATAAATGGTGCTGGAAAAACTGGCTCTCCATTTGCCGAAAACTAAAGCTAGACCCATGTCTATCACCATGTACTAAATTAAAATCTAAATGGGTCAAAGATCTGAATATTAAAACAGAAACACTAAATCTATTGGAAGACAAATTGGGTAGAAACCTTGGAGACAGGAGTAGGTAAAGAATTCATGAACAGGACTCAAACCACACAGGAAATACTTCCCAGAATCAATAACTGGGACCACTTCTTGTTAAAAAGTTTCTGCATGTCAAAAGAAATCTCCAGCATAGTGAAAAGAAAACCCACAAACTGGGAAAAGATTTTAGTGAACTCTCTCTCAGACAAGGGACTCTTGTCTAAAACATATAAAGAATTTAAAAAACTCAGACCTCCAAAATTCAAAGATCCAATTCAAAAATGGGCATCTAAGATGAATACACAATTCTCAGATGAAGAAAGGCAAATGGCAAATAAATACATGAAAAAAATGCTCATCATCATTGGTCATTAGAGAAATGCAAATTAAAACCACACTGAGATACCATCTCACTCCTGAAAGAATGGCCAGGATCAAGAAAACCAACAACAACAAATGCTGGAGAGGCTGTGGGGAAAAAGGAACACTCCTGCACTGTTGGTGGGAGTGTAGACAGGTACAGCCTTTGTGGAGGTCTGTCTGGAGATTTCTCAAAAAGTTGGGATTGGAAGTCCCATTTATTCCAGCTATTCCACTTCTAGGCATATTCCCAGAAGAACTGAAAGCATCATACCACAGTGATATATGTGCACCTATGTTTATAGCAGCACAATTTGTAATCGCCAGATCTTGGAAACAACCCAAGTGTCCATCAACTGAGGAATGGATAAAAAAGTTGTGGTATTTCTATATAATGGAGTATTATTCAGCTATAAAGAAGGATCACATGGAGATATTTATCAATAAATGGGCGCAGCTTGAGACCATACTCATAAGTGAAATAAATCAATCTCGCATGTGTGAATACCGAATAGTTTCCCTAATGTAAGTAATGATTCAAATATATAAAAATATGTGGTAATCATGATTCCCCATTATGGGGCCTTGAAGCCTTATAAAATTTTCACTTATTAATTAGAAAGGCTTTATTCTGGGCTTCTTGATATGGAAATATTTGAAGCTCTAGAATATGAAGTTTTATCCAAATATTTCAAGGAAAAAGACAGACACTATGGTAACTACTATTAAATCAGGTTATTTGGTGATGAAGCATGAGGTTGCTGAAACAGTCATGCTTTGACCTCTATTGTTATATTGTTATGTCCTGTTTTAACTCAATCTCTCCCTTATTCTTTAAAAAAATTATTTAGTTATTTCTTATGTTATTTTAATTACGGGGAAAAATTTTAAAAATTAGGATATATAATAGTAACTCTTTTTGATTTCCTATTAACTTGTTTTGAAGTCCTGTAATACTCCCACGATCTTCTTTTGACTGATTAGACTCTGTTCCATTCTATATGATAGTATCAAGTTTGAGGGTATAGGCAACTACTTTGAAGACAATAAGATTCACTAAGATGCCCATTCTGGTTTGACTATTGTCTCCTTTGGAAGTCCTGTAATGTTTACAATGCCTCAGTTTTATTGGTCTTGTTCTCTACTGTTTTGTCCAACTTTATAATATCTAATGAGATAGACAATTCTTTTTAAGGAAACAAGAGACATTGTTGATAACCATTGTTGATAACCTTGTACTCTGTTCTACATCATGTGCTATGTCTATCCTTGGTTTTGACTGACAGCTTTGTTTTGCCATATTTGACTGTATTCTCTCCCCCCCCCAAAAAAGTAATAAGAACTAAGGAGTAATAAAATCCAAAATGTGTAAATTTTGTTGTAAAAAAGAGAGGGAGAAAAAAAAAAGAGCTCTAACGGATATAACAGCAAGTGTGTTTAGGGGTGTTAAATAGCTGACTATATTAATGTTTTTGGATCATTGAACACAGCTGTTTGCAGTCTCTCTGTTTGAATGTCCACTTTGTATTCTTTGATACTGTGATTTGAGCAACTATATCCAAGATGATAATATGTAATCTATTAACAGGTGATTTCTTACTGTTATGTTTTTTTTTTTGTAGTTCTGTATTATGTGTACCCTTACACCGCTTTGTTTTGTTTTGTGTTTTTCTCTTTTTCCTCTTAAATAAAATTTTTTAAAAAAACACAAAACAAAACAAAGCAGTGTAAGGGTACAAGTAATACAGAACTACAAAAAAAAACCAGTAAGAAATCACCAGTTAATAGATTACATATTATCATCTTAGAAATAGTTGCTCAAATCTCTCACCATCTTGTTTTGACTGATTTTACTCTATTTTTTTGATAGTATCAAGTTTGAGGGTATAGGCAACTACTTTGAAGACAATAAGATTCACTATGATGCCCATTTTGGTTTGACTATTATCTTCTTTGAAGTCCTGTAATATTTCCAATGTTTAGGTTTTATTGGTCTTGTTCTGTACTGTTTTGTTCAATTTTATTATACCTAATGATATAGGCAATTCTTTTTAAGGTAGCAAGAGGCATTATGGTAACCATTGTTGATTACCTTGTATTTCGTTTTTACATCATGTACTATGTCCATTCTTTGTTTTAACTGACTCTGCTTTGTTTAGTTGTATTTAATTTTATTCTCTTCCAAAACAAAAAACTAATAAGAACTGTGGGAGTAATAAAACCTAAAATGTGTAATTGCTATTGTAAAAAAGAGGTTAAAAAGTGCTCTAAAGGATACAACTAAAAGTGTGTTTAGGTGTGTAAGACAGATGACCATATTACTAAGTTTTTGTTGGATCATTGAACAAAATTGTTTGCATTCTCACTGAATGTCCACTTTGTATGCTTTAATTTTGTAACTTGAACAACTATTTCTAAGATGACAATATGTAATCTATTAACCAGTGATTTCTGTTTTTTTTAATTCTGTATTGCTTTTACCCTTTTTCTGTTTTATTTTTTTCTCTTTAAATAAAATTTTTTTAAAAGGAGGATAAACTTGAGGCTCTTATAGGTAAATGGATGCAACTCAAGATCATACTCATAACTGAAATAAGTCAGACTCATGTAAACATCATATTTTTTCCCTGGCATGAGAAACTGAAAGAGTAAATATGGTCTAAATAAGATCTAAAATGTACAGTAGATATTGTGAAATGGTAAGAAATTGATAAAAAGGGAAAAGGAACTAGAACTGGGGAAAGGGAAAATGAAGGAAGGGAAAAGAGAGAAAATATACGTTATGGGGCTGGGGATTTAGCTCAGCAGCATAAGCACCTGCCTTTGCAAGCAGACAGTCGTGAGTTTGATCCCCAGTACCGATAAAAATGAAAAAGACAAAAAAAAAAGAAAATATAAGTTATAGTGTTAGTGTCTCTCAGCTCACAGAAAAGGAAAGTTTGCACCTTTATCAATTGGAGAATTTTATGTCCATATCTTGTATCCTGATTAAATAGTTTAAAGATAATAATATGAAATGTGTTAACTATTACTATTCTCCTATGTCTTGTTATGAAATGTAATTTTATCTTTTCTCCATAAAATACAAACAATAAAGAAATTACAATGAGATGCATTATACTGCCTCTGGCCTCCACACTCAGTCACAGACATATTACTCTGAAGGGACTTTCTCTCCAGAATTTCCCCTCCCTCATACTGAGGGACTCCTCTCTAGACACCTCCACAATAAGTACTAATTATGAGAACAGAACATAGATTTCCCAGAGCTCTGACCCTTCTTGTAAATAATGAGGAAAGTGTATTCCCCTTTCCTCACTAGTGAGAGGATTCACCAGTGTCCTCCCTCTTCTCTCCAACTGCCATGGCCCTAAGGATTCTGAAGGAGACACCTGCTATCGCCATCAACTAATGGTAATCAGCTGACTGCTTACCACTACAAGACTGAGTCAAGTCCTTGCCTTGTCTTTTTATCGGTACCAGGGATCGAACTCACGACTGCCTGCTTGCAAGGCAGGCGCTTATGCCGCTGAGCTAAACCCCCAGCCCCCAGTCCTTGCCTTGTCTATATCCCCACATCCCAAAACAGAACCACCACCTGTGCATTTGAATTCCTTCTCAATGTCCTATTGGTTCCTTTGCTGACAAGCAAGATGGCACTTGAGGTGCCTGGATATGACTTCAGGCACTCATTTCAGACACCAATGCAGTTATACTGTTGGAGTTTTTGTTGATCTTCTCAGTATCATCTCAAACTCAGATCCAGAGGAGGAGCAGTAAACCCACATAACATCTGAATACTCAAGGTTTAAAATATTCAGACCAGAGACTAGACATGAAGGTGAGTTTATCATTACTTTCCCTTAGGAAAACACAGTTTTGCAGCTGGGAGGAATTTTGTATTATATCAAGGAGGTTTGGGGAAAACCCTACAATATATCCTATATTTTATTTCTGTGTGCACAAGGAGAATGATGGTGGGGGTGTGTAAGCATGTGTGTTGCGTTATGTATTTGGAAATGCGTTCATACATGTAATAAGGATGTTATCTGGGAATTTTGTTAGTATTTTCATGCTGTGGCATGTTTGAAGGAAAATGGCTCAGGACTTGCCTGGTAGAAGTGGTGTGCAGCTAGCTAATCACGGTACTAAAAACCTTACTTCTTGTGACTCAACATCACCAGCTGCCGTTGGTCCATAAGACCAAATTTACCTCCCATGCTTTGCGTCTATTATGACTCCAATGCAGTAAAATTATCTAGAAATAAACATCATGCTTTGTGTGTCCTCTTATTCTCTAATGTCTCTAGAATTACAGAGCTGGGTTTATCTGAAAAAAAAAACAGAAAATACTTGGAATTAGATTTAAGCCAAATGATGTGATCTTGTTACTTCATTTCAGCCACTTTATTGTCCTACTCTATAAAATTATTCTCTGGTTTTCAAGTGAATAAAGATTGGAGTTAATATATGAAAGAAATAAGAATTTTTATAACATTTCTGTCAAAAACTAGTATAAGAACTCTTAAAATTTGTTTCTTGGGCTGGAGGGTATAGTTCAGTAGGAAACTGAGAGCTTAGCAAGCTTGAGGATGTGTTCAGTTCCCAGGACCACACACACAAAGACTCATTTTTTGATTTGTAAAAACAGGGTTCAATACATACCTACCATGTACTTTGTGTTTTATCTATTTAGCTCATTTCACCTACTGCTGCTTTTATGTAAGAAAACTGGGTCACAGAGAGGCTCAATAACATGTTCAAAGGTCCTGTTAGGAAACAGCAGAGCCAAGACTCAAATCCAGGCACCTGGATCTTGAACACTTGTTCCTATTCGTCATAGTAACACTTGTTCTGCCAAATAAGGACAGAGTGAGAGTACCACATAAGCAGGATGTCTTGTCGGGGGGAAAGTAGTATTTCTGGGAAAATAAAAAATAAGAGGATTATTATTTTAAAATTAAAAGCATGAATATGCTGTTTGAAATGTTATCTATCTAAATGATATGCCAGGAAAATTGTAGTAGAAATGTTTTATAGGAATTTTATCAGCCGTGATGGTTTCTATATTATAAGGTATTTGACTCAATGTCAAGTTAAAATTCCTTTTGTTCCTTGTGTTCTCTCTCCATTTGTCTGAGAATATTTGACAGTAGAGCTAAGATAGAATAAAAACCTTAGAAGTTACCTAATACAAACTCCTCACTTTATGCATGACAAAATTAAAACAAGGGGACCTGAAGTGACCTACCCATATCAAGTATTAGGATAAAGATGGCTACTCGCTAGGACCAAAGTCTTCTGACTTCTAGACTACCAGCAAGTGTTCTTTCCTCCACCACCACTGGTTTAAAAGCTAGCATTCGCGTGTTGATCCGTGGTGATCATGATCATGGTGTGTAACAGGAGGAAGAGCAAGGACATTGCAAGCAGCCTCCATTCATGACAGTAGTCAGTAACGCATTGGGTTGTGTTAAAAATTAAACTGAGGCACCATGAAAAATGTAAAGAGTTTATGTGAAGACTGATCCATGAATTGGGCAGCACCAATCCAGAAGAGAGATTCATACGGGACAGACACAGAAGTAAGATAATGAAAGCATTTGACTTGTTATAATTAGAAGGCTGCCATATTTGGTCTGTCTCATTAGAAATTCCCTAGTTATACAAATGTCTTGCCTGACTTAAATGAAGTGTAAGTTATGTTTGCAAATAGAGGAAGGTTAAGGTCACTTATGTGGCCTAACTGGTTTTGAATGCTCAGGGATTTTTCTTTCCATCTGAATCTAATGGTTGCATAAATAAAACAAGGAAGGTGATAATTATGGTCTGTAAGTATTAGACCAAGTTTGATATATTGCTCCGATTTTAGGCACTGCACACTTTCAAGGAAACAGGGGAAAGGGAGGCTTACGGTGGAATCTCTCATTTGAAGGTCATATGAGAGGAAAACTAGATTTCTCCTGGTCCCTGGGAATATAACCAGAACTAGGGAGGCAGGTGAAGGAACGCTGATTTGAAAATCAGACCAATCTGAGTACAAGTTATACACAGCCACTGCCTAGCTATGACCTTAGAGCAACTTAATTATCTTTTATGAGCCTCCACCTGATCCTTCACAAAATAGAGCTTCCATTTGTCTCGTGGGATCTTGTAGCTAAACCAAGGAACACTGGCATGTTGGCATATGGCCTCCAAACAAACTCCACGTTCAGATCTCTAGATGGAATTACGGTTAATAAATTATCTGCGTGCTGTGTCTCTTCCCCAGCCGGGGTTTTCCTTTGCAGGTCAGTGACTGGGCCATCGCTGCCGTTCAGTCATACCAAACCTTCCCAGAGTTTCTCTTCTTAGGTCAACCACAGCAGCAGCACCAGGGAGCGCGTCCTCCTGCTGGGCTTCTCCGACTGGCCCTCCCTTCAGCCGCTGCTCTTGGTCCTGGTTCTCCTGTGCTATGTCCTGACGCTCACCGGCAACTCGGGGCTGGTGCTGCTGGCCGTGCGAGACCCGCGCCTGCACGCGCCCATGTACTACTTCCTGCGCCACCTGGCCGCGCTGGACGCGGCCTTCGCCACCAGTGTGGCGCCGCCCCTGCTGGCCGGCTTGCGCGGCCCGGCGGTGCTGCTGCCCCGAGAGGGCTGCCTGGCGCAGCTGTGCGCGTCGCTGGCGCTGGGCTCGGCCGAGTGCGTGCTGCTGGCGGCGATGGCGCTGGACCGCGCGGCCGCCGTGTGCCGCCCGCTGCACCACGCCCGGCTCTGCTCCCCGCGCCTCTGCCGCGCGCTGGCCGCAGCCTCCTGGCTCGGTGGCCTGGCCAACTCGGCCGCGCAGACCGCGCTGTTCGCCGCCCGGCCTCTGTGCGCGCCCCTGCGGCTGGACCACTTCATCTGCGAGCTGCCCGCGCTGCTGCAGCTGACCTGCGCCGGCGGCCGCGGGGGAGACTCGGTGGAGCGCCAGATGCTCGCCGCCCGCGTGGTCGTCCTGCTGCTGCCGTCCGCCGTCATCCTGGCCTCTTACGGCGCAGTGGGCAGAGTGGTGTGCGCCATGAGGTCCCGCGGGGGCCGGAGGAAAGCGGTGGGCACGTGTGGCTCCCACCTGACCGCAGTCAGCCTGTTCTATGGCTCTGCCATCTACACCTACCTGCAGCCCACGCACAGCTACAACCAGAGCCGAGGCAAGTTCGTTTCTCTCTTCTACACTGTGCTCACACCAGCCCTCAACCCGCTCATCTACACGCTAAGGAACAAAGAAGTGAAGGGGGCAGCGAGGAGGCTTCAGAAAAGTCTGTGGGGGAGGCGGGACCGACAGTGACGGGCCCAAGGATGGAAGTGCCCCGTCGGTCAGTTTCCGAATCTGCAGGATTTGTCTCAGGGAATCTGGCGTTGATGGAGAGATCCTCTCACCGGGTGGGGCTCACATTCCTGCAGGGAAAACCCCCGTGCGATCTATATTTATACCTTTTTGGGAAGGGGAAATGGACCCTAAGCTAAATAGGAAAAGCATGATTTGAGGCACCCTTCCTCATCCTCAGGGGACGCCGTAACCACCCTTCACCTAGTCTGATGCAAGACTATGGAAGAGCCGTGCTCTCTGCCATCGGGGCTCGTTAAAGTTAACGAGCGAGTCACAGAACCGTGACCTCTCTTTTTAAGGAAAACGGACCCAACATCATGCAGACCTAGGGAGCTGATCAGCGCCCACCAGAGCCCTGGACCCACAGTGCTGAGAGACCCATAGATGCGGGGAACTGTGCTGAGTGAGGTGATGCTGAGAAACCGACCTGCGGGAAATGGTTATTTGACAGGTTTTAAGGAGAAGGAGCTAGAATTGGTAAGGAAGAAGGCAAGGCAAGAAGAGAGGAGAGGGGCTGCGAGGGGAAGACTCAGATTCTCAAGAGAGGAGTAGGGATCCAGCGGAAAAAACAAACACGTTTCATCACCCAGAACCTGAGCAAAGGTTTGGGATGAGCCCGCAAGCCAACCCCTAGCCTCCCTCACTCTCAGTGGTGTGACCAAACTGGAAAAGACCTGCAAGACTGTACGACAGCCTGACAGAGCAGGGTCCACGACCCGCCACTCAAAAAGTTTGTCTCCTCCTGAAGTACATCTGTCCCCAAAGAGCTCCTATGGAGAAACAAAATCTCTAGATGCTCACGGAAAATGCCTTCCCATGCCCACCCTCAGAAATAACACTTTTAACTGGTCGTGGGGTATAGTGAATAAATGGCAGATTTAATTTCATACCGAGCAACTTTTTTCCAAGCAGCTTTAAGGAGAGGACAAGTGGTTTCAATAAATTTCTAAATTAGTTCTTTGTTAGAATGTGATCATACTGGAGCTAAGAATTCATTTCATAATAAATCATTTCACTGTTCCCTATAAGTAGCAATTCAATTTCATCTGACTATTATTGAGTAACATACATGAGGTACTGTTATTATAGAAACTCAAAAATTAGTAAAATATGGCTCCTAACATAAAATTTACTATCTTATCCTGTAGGAAATAGTTTTTCTCTGAGAAAGTATAAAAGATTAAATGTCATGCCAGCTTTGAATGCTGTCTCTAAAAGAAATTTTGTTTTCTTTTCTCAGTAAAATTAACAACATTGCCACTCAGTTAACCGTTAGAATTAAATAATCACTGAATTAAAAAGTACACTTCATCCTACCCATTTCACACCAAATTTAACTGTTCTTTTCATTCTCATTAATTTTGAAATGGTGATGAGCCAAAAGGAGGCTCTGTGCTTCTGATATAACCCCATCTTTTGATGGGCATGGTTGTCCATGCCTGTAATTCCAGCACTTGGGAGGCTGAGGCAGAAGGATCTCTGTGAATTCAAGGCTAGTCTGCGCTACAAAGTGAGTTCAAATCCAGCCTGAACTGCATAATGAGACTCTGTCTCAAAAAAAGACAGAAAAAAATCCTGATATAACCCCATCATCAGAGTAGCCAACCCTCTAAGGAATAGTGTACCAAGAAGAGGACATTGCCTTTTCTGATGCCATAATCTGCCATGCTCTTTGCAACTTCCAAGCTCCTTCCATCGTGGGTCACAGTCTGGGTCTCTAGGGTTACAGCTGTCACTACCTCCACCATCCTTTTCATCTTAATCACCGAGCTGGAGCAGGTGCCTGTGCCGCTCATTACTTGACTCCCCCAGAAACAAGGCCAACTCCTCATCTCTGGGCTTCCTTACCTAGTAGATTCTCATCTCCTTGTCAGTGTGTTCAGCCATGAAAAGTCTTCAGAGCCAAAAAGTCTTCAGCGTGGCTTTTGAGTCTAGGAACCCAAACAAAGGACCTGGTCCTGCACATAAATCTTGGTTCTAGACCTGATGTGTTCATGGATCTTCACACTGTCATTGAGGCTGGCTTCAAAGGTCATTAATGCTTGGTTCTTATTACAGCCACGTACAAAGAAAGTCAAAAGACAATTGCTTAGAATGTTTGCCACCCTTTATACTCTCTGCTTCCCTAACCTTTCACTGCCTTCCAGTTCTTTTTCAATAATGTATCTTCCCTCTCTAGGAACTTCTTTTTTGGAATTCAGGGTCATAACACAAAGAACACTACCTCAGTTCTATTTCTTTTCCTGCTGGGACTCCAACTCAGGACCTCAAGCCTACTGGGCAGGCACATGTGTTGCTGAGCTATGTCCCTGGTTAGTGTCATTTCTTTTGAATACTTCTTCTCCGTGTCAAAATGTAATTAATGATTTCCTGACTGATTTACCTGCATCTCCTATCCAGATTTATTTTTTATCCAGTTTTTTTTAATTTCCTCATTGCTCTATAGTATCTTGCATATTGTGGTGACACCATGTTCAATGTTATTTGTTAATCTGTATTTCTTGTGTTTTGTATATAACTGTTATAAAAATATGATCCCCTCTTTTGACTAGACCAGGACTTCAATGACAGAAGATAATTGGAACTTCGACTAGAAGATTCAGGAGGAGTAGGTATAATCACTCTTGTAAAGGCTGGAGGCCTTGTGCTCCATTCAAAGTTTCCCTCCAGTGTACATGTTGTGGATTTTAGGTTCTCTTCTTGGTTCATATATTTGTTTTAAGGTAATGGATTAGGTCATTGACAAAAGAGTTTTCTGAAACTATCCTTTGGGAGGGAAGCTGAAGTTTGACTCAGAATAATCCTATAATTTCACATCTTATTCCTCTGTAGAGAATCAAGTCTATCCCCACTATCTGCTATTTTTTCCCCAAGGGCAGCCAATTTACAGTCTGGTTCAGAAAGAACTCAGGACTGGTTCAGAAAGAACTCAGGACCCAAATGACCAGCACCTTCAAACACCTTCTTCCCAGTCTGCAGTGATCAGTGCTTGCCTCATTTTTGTCATGAAGCTTCCCCATCACCTTCCCTTCAAAAGCACAGTCACTCATCTGAGACGTCTCCCCAACTCTTAGAAATGTTTTTCTTTTACCACTCCATTTGTCAAATCCTAACTTATACAGAGACAGGAAGCATTGCAAGTCATTTCTAAAATCAAAGGAACTGAAGGGAAAAAAACTATGAAAGTGGACAATGTGTTCAGCTTATACATGAATGGCTGAGTTGGAAATCCCATCTGAACTGCCGTGCTGTCCAAACTATGTCCCTTTTTAATTATTTATTTATTTATTTATTTATTTTTGGTACAAGGGATTGAACTCATCTCCTCATGCTTGCCAGGCAGGCACTTGTGTGACTGAGCTAAATCCCCAACCCCTTTTTTTAATTTTAAAGAGAATTTTTTAAAAAACAACAAAAATGATATACAGAATTTCAAACAAGATGACACAAAATTAATAATGATTATTATATTGCATGATGTCTTCAAAATAGCTATTACAAATTGTGCTGCTATAAACATGGATCGCATAGATCAGTATGGTATAGTGTTTTCATTTATTCTGGAAAAATACATAGGAGGGGAATAGCTGAGTCAAATGGGATCTCTAATCATAGTTTTCTGAGGAATCTCTACAGTAATTTCCACAGTGGTTGCACCATTCTGCACTCCTACCAACAGTGGAGAAGGGTTCTTTTTCACTACAGCCTCACCAGCATTTGTTATTGGATGATTTCTTGGTGACAGACATTCCACTTTGTATGTCCTCTTGAGATTGCATACAATATAAGGCAGGGAAAGAAGCTTGCTTCCTCCTTTTGCCCTTTTGCTCTTGTCACTTTTGGTATCTGCTTCAGCCACCATAAATGGTCAGCCCCACCACCCTGCCTTGGTGCCAGCCGAGTATGGACTGAAACTTCCCCGCACTGTAAGCTAAATAAATCTTTCCTTCCTTCACTTTGGGTGTCAGATATTTTGTCTCAGCAATGAGAAAAAAGTAAACTAGACAGATTCCAACTGGATTAAGGCCCAGATTTCTCTACATTGATGGAGATGGAGGCAGTGTACTCTCCAACATTGCACAGGAGTCCCAGTATGACTTGGTCTTTTTCATACAAAAGTAGTCTGGGAGAGGTGCAAAGAAAGGAACTTTCAGAAATTCTTTCTAGAGAATTCCCATAGGCAGAAAAGGAATAAGGAGTCATTCTCAGGGAAATGACTAAAGGTGACTTCCAGACCTAACACATTGCATAGCTGCCACCAGGACATGAACTGGGATTATACATCCTCTCAGGCCTCATCGCATTTGGGATATGTCATGGTGCAGTAAGCTATGGGTGGTTTGAAAAAAGATGGATTAGAACCTGTTTTGGGGTACCATACTTCTTAATGATTTTGGCAAGTAATCTTAGTCCAAGATGTCACTATATCTAAGGATTACAGGCTTACCCAGCCCACTCTTCTACGGACTTCCATTGGGCAAATATTTCCTCCTTCTCGGCACTGCGGTTGTGTGGTCTCATCACTTTATCTTGTCCCCTACTCTTCTTAAACCACCTCTTTACAACAGAGTAAAATCACTCCACTAAGGGGAAAATCACTGCATACATGTACCTGGTATACACTGGATTTTGTTATAGAATCTTAGAAATTTTTTTGTCTTTTTCGTCTTTTATTGGTACCAGAAATCAAACTCATGACTGCCTGCTTGCAAGGCAGGTGCTTATGCCACTGAGCTAAATCCCCAGCCCCAGAACCTTAGAATTTGCTTCTATGGTAAAGGGTAATAGTTACCACAGTTTTTCAATAGCTACACTATATGTGAAACTATTGTTATTGATAACTGTACTACTGTAGCCAGGATGTTGTACATGTTATAATCAGTTTTTGTCACTTGTATGATAATGCTGAAACTGTATGAGATCATAATCCTCACCATAGTCCAGTACCAAAGAACTGGGTGCTGGGCCAAACAGCAAATTTTCATCCTTAACATATTTGAAAGTATGTTCTTGAAATATACATAAAGAACCACTTAGAAGACAACTCTGAAGAACAGGCATTTCCCAGGGATAACTCCAATACTAGTGATAAAACTATCTATCATAAGAAATCAGCAAGCAACCACACAGAAAACAAATAAAGTTAATTTCTCAAGTACAAAAAGAAATGATGCTCAGAATAGACACAGATTTTTTAGAAAGTAGAAGAGCTTAGGAAAATGATGGAAAGCATGAATACCCAACATAGGAAACAATGAAATCCCTGAAAATGATCCAAAGAGAAATCCCATAGATTAAAAAACCCATTGAAAGTATACACAACACATTGAATGGAGTGATGATTGAATCTCACATCTTAAAGATAGAATTATGGAAAAAGAAAGATATCTTAAAAATAGCAAGGGACCAAGAAAAATCAATCCAATCACTGCAAGATGAAGCAAAGAACAACATCAGATTTATTGGGGTCAATGAGAAAGCTGGAGACAGTACAAATGTCATGTAAAAACTCTTCACAGAAATAATGTCAGAAAACTTCCCAAGAAAGGATAAAAAAAATTGACATACAAATAAATGAAGCATATAGAACTCCAAACAGCAATAACCAAAGTAAAATCACCCCAAGTCATATAATAATCAAGGTTCTAGGAACTCAGCACAAGAACAGAATATTAAAAACAGAAAAGAAATAGATCACCTTTAAAGGAAAGGACATCAGAATCACAGAAGACTTCTCAACATAAGCCATTGAATTAAGGAGAAGTTGGAATGGGTATTTCAATCCCAAAAGAAAACCTCCAACCAACATTGACGTACCCCATGAAACTATCTTTTAAAATCAATGGAAAAATAAGATACTTCCATGACAAAGAACACCTGAGAAAACTCATGACCACCAAACTAGCTCTTCAGAATGTTCTGAAGGATATATCTGAAAGAGAAAAATGAAGCACAAAACACCAATACAAAGCAGCCACCAGGCAGAAAAATCAATTAAACAGAGGGGAAACACAGAAACAGGGGGAAACACAACCAACAACAGGAAAACAATATGAGAAAGATAAACTGTTACACATATCTGTTATAACTATCAATTTAAATTATTTCAATTCACCAATCAAAAGAAATAGACCGGATAATGAATTAAGAAATAAGATCCAAGCCAGGTGTGGTGGTGCATTCCTGGGAGTCTGAGGCAAGAGAATTGCTTGCAAGTTCAAGCCCAGCCTGGGCTACAAAGTGAGCTCAAGGCCAACCTGAACTGCATAGTGAGACCCTGTTTCAAAAAGACCAAAAAAGAAAGAAAGAAAGAAGGAAAGAAAGAAAGAAAGAAAGAAAGAAAGAAAGAAAGAAAGAAAGAAAGAAAGATAATATTCAACAATATGCTGATCTCAAGAAACACATTTAACTCAAAAACCAAGTCTTAGACTGAAAGTCAACAGATGAAAAACAGTATTAGATGTGACAAATTCCCAGAAAGAAGCAGGGGTAGCTAGCTACTGTATTTGCAGACAATGTGAATGTCAAGCCAAGCCTAATCAAAAGACACAAAAAGAGTCACTGCATATGTATTGAGGGAAGACTCCAAGAAGAAGACATAACAATCATAAATATATATGCACCAAACTACATAAAACAAATATTAACAGACATGGAAAATCAAATATGCACTAACACCATTATCATGAGGGACTTTAATACTCCATTCTCACAATTAGATAGATCAACTAGAGAAAAAATTCAATAAAGGAATATCAAAATTAAAACAAACCTGTGAACAAATGAGTGTTCTACCCCACAACATCAGAATATACATTCTTCTCAGCTAAACATGGGACATTCTCCAAAACAGATTACATATTAGCTCATAGGACATGCTTAAATAAATGCAGAGCAACTGAAATTATTCCATGCATATTATTGGACCCTAGTGAAATCAAATTGGAAATCAATGACAAAAGAAATCACAAAAACTACATGAGCAAATGAAAATTAATCCTACTGAACAACCAATGGGCCACATAGGAAATTAAAGAACAAATTAAATAGTATCTACAATTAAATAAAAATACTGATACAACATACTGGAACTTATGGGATGCAATGAAAGCAGTCGTGAGGGA